TTTCCATTGGGTGTGTCTATGTGCACGCGTTTTTTGTGACGCTCCTTCATATAAGTACCTATCTATATGCTAATTTCTGCTTGATTGACGCAATACATGACATATCTTGTTTGTATCTCCTTTCTACTGAAGGTTCAGCTGGTTCACCCAAGAACAACAGCCAAGTGAGGAATTCTCCATCGCCTATTTTGTACATTGCATTCGGGGTCAGCATCGGGGTCAACGTAACCATCATAGCCGTCGCACTCTGGTTTTTGTTAGGCCTACATCAGAAAACATAAATATCGTAAATAACATGTTGATGATAATATATGACTGTGTATCGTAAGAAATTGGGACAGGAAGGTGTGCTAATAACACTATAATAGGTGCCTAGTAATCATATTGTAAGTGACCGAGGAAGTTAATGACTGTGGTCTAAAATTTTAACAGATAAAGAGAGGACCTTGTTAGGAAAACAAACTTTTCCTAATGGTTGCACACCTGGGATTGTTCTGTAGGTATTTGGGTATAGGAAGACATTTCCCGTAACCCTGACTTTCCGTGCATTTCATAACCAGGATATTTGTAACCACGAACTTCCACGTTTCAGAATGTCATAATGACGATTATGTCCGCGGCCGAGTTACGAGCATTCAGATTTACGGAAGTTCGGGGCTACAACATATCGGCGCAACGTTGGTGTCAAAAGAGTCTAGGTCGTAGGCCACGCCTAGAAAATTGTCAGATTTGATGTTTTTGTGCGATCTTTTAAATTCCCAGTGGCAAATTTTTCCACTATGCACAAAAACATCAGCCACTATAGGAATTTGAAAGCTCGCACCAAAACATCAGCCACTTAAGAATTTTAAAGCTCGCACACAAACATCAAATTTGACAATTTTCTAGATATAGTAAATCGGAAGCCAAACGGAACCATCTTTAAAGGAAGCCTATGATATATAAATATTTTGTGAAATTCCTCAAAAGTGAACTTAAATCAACCGAAGATCAACAACGATTGATTTTTTACTGAATATGTAATAAATTTTAATTACAACCCCTCCTTTGGGAAACCACTATTAAGGGGATACCCCTATTAAGTGACACTTTTTTTGCCGTGAAGTGAGGGAAACACTGCGGACAACCGGGCCCCATATTTAGGGGACACTTTTTTCGGTCCCGTATGTCACAAAAACTGATTGATTTGCATACGTTGTAGGCCTGGATGAAATGTTATATTTGGTTTATATGCATGAATACAAGAGTATATGAGTTTTATGTATTGTACTTTTTCGTTAGTTGGTGAGAAAAATTTTATCTAAAATTTAAAAAGAATTTAAACTAAAAATGGTTGCTAAGAAGAACCGATGATGTTGATAAATTGGTTTATCTCGGATGTGTAATACGAGATGCGTTGCTTTAATAATACAAACTGTCAATTATGAAGTAGTCTGCTACGATTTGCCGCCGTTTTATAAGCCTTTGGGCCGAATAGGTACTATTAATCCTGCTTATCAGAATGATCTGGGTGTTCCAGTGACCCGAGTGAGCACTGCCCCTCAGACCGCTGCCATACAAACCACTGCCATGGTGTTTAGACTAGGCTTATATTTTAAAGCCTTATTTTAAAAATCGATGCTTATTAACATGTTATTTTCTATTAAAGATAGAACGATTTTTGTCGTGTTATATGTTTCTATGCGACTTCGTTAATCATTATATATGATTTAAATGCACTATAGTTTATGCCTGCCAGTATTTTTTTTCTCTGTGCCACAAAGATACTGTAATTTGTTTCATTATTATCATGTAATGTGATACTTTGCATTATATCTGATTTATCTACGTACGCGGTGATAGAAATATGATGCGATGACATCAGTGGCGTAACTAAGATCTGAGGGGCCCTGTTTCGAGTGTACCGTCTGGGCTTGAAGCATTTAAATTAGCAATTACTATTCTTTTACTGAAGTAATCCATATTAAATACCATCCCCCGCCAAGCATCATTCCCATGAAATGGAGTATTGTAAAATTTATTATTTTTCAATTAAGTTAAAAGTTAAAGTTAAAGTTAAATTTATTATTTTTAAATTAAGTTAAAAGTTAAAGTTAAGTTAAAAAGTTAAAGTATTTTTCAATTAAGTTAAAAGTTAAAGTACCAATACGGTAACTATGATCATTTAAAGAGAAAGAAACCAAAACAGATCATAATTATATTTAGCATTTGGGTTGATAAAAACCGGCACTGGTATCTCCGCATAGTTTATTTCCATTTTCTATCAATAGAGTAGCCCCTCTCAGTGAAAAACACTGCTTTTCCAAGGGGCTCCACAATAAAATAAAATCTTCAGAAGAAACTAAACTACAGTAAATCTGAAACTACATTATCTTTTGAATTTGGAGTAAAGGACAGTCTGGTACGCTTCTCTCTTGTCGAATTAATTCGGCCTGAGACATTAACAACTTGATTTTCTTGCTATGGAGATCATATGTACTATTAATTGAATTGTATTACGTTAAATAAATCATTAAGCCTGAGCGGATCCAGCCTGCCAGAAAAGGGGGCCGCAATCTGCAAGCGAAGCGAGCAGCCTTAGGCTGGAGGACAAGGAGACGCCTAAGGCCCCCGGTGGGGTGCAGGGGCAGAGCCCCTGGTGGGAGTCCAGGTGGGCGAAACCCCCTTGAAGCCCAGCACATTTGAGGAATATGAGGTTGTATTGAGTCGATTTTGACTATCTAGCATGGTAGTTTTCAGTAACAAATATATAAAAAAAAAAATAGGTGTATGTCTTTTAAAAGAAACTTTAATATACAGTGTACCTGCAAATGAAACTATGAAATGTGTCTTTAAATTAATAATAATTCATCTACTCACAGCTGTGGGTTTAGTGCCTCTTCCACGAACATTTCAAACATAATCTTTGACAACATGCAAAGGCTCATAAATGTACACCATTTCAAAAGAGAAATTTCACTTCTAGGAAACATGATGGAAGTTTCTCAGCAACATCGAGCATAAAAATCATGAGCATAAAAAACTAATATCTAAAATCCGTTAAAAAAAAGTCGTCAAACAACAAAGTCCGCTACTGTATATAAACATTGAGTAAATTACAAGTGTTCTATTTCTCACCAAGTGGATTTATGAATAGTACTGCTAGGGTGTTTTTGGTAGGAAAAGAAAACTGTGGGTGTGATTTTTTCTTTTCTTTTATTTTTTTATTTTTTTATTTATTCATTTATTTTTTTGCCCCTTACGCTTCCCCCCCCCCCTAAATCCGCCACTGGAAATAGGCCTAGGCCCTAGGTTTAGGTAGGCCTACTTTTTTCCATGTCAGTTAGAGACAACAGGATTATACAATTTCATACAGTATAGCTTGTAAATTACACAATGATGTACTGTACAATAAGAAGGTAAAACTTGCACGTCAAAAGTGTCAAATGTTGTCTACACAAAAACTGTACTTTATTAAAAGAGTTAGTCTACTGAAGGGGTGTCGTCAATGGAGATGCGCACACATCAGTGTACTGTGGTCACTGTGCATGGGGTTGTCTGACAGCACATACCTGCTGACCTCGATAGAGAGTGATTGATTGCACGAAAGTTTCCATGTTGGTGCATCTGCGCTTAAACTTTCTTTGTAGTTATGCATTGCGCGATGTGACATAGAATCAACCTTTCTATGGAATTGAGTATCCATTCAATTATCTCCAAAAAAAAAATTGTGATAAACCCCCCCCCCCCTATAAATCAGCCCTTGTTAAGCCTCATGTAAAGTGTAGGTCTATACCGATTACTTTGTAAGCAGTTTTAATTATTTACAGTAGTCAAATATTGGCAAAAACAGACGAAAGATCGACCAAGTGAAAGTTATTACTAAAAGAGCAATAAAAACCAAGGGTTTAGCTTTTTTTTTATGGTGGACGGGGCCGGGGGACAGGTGAGTGTTGTTTGAATGAGGTTGATTTTACAGTTGTCCTACCCGAAGAATGTTGTTTTTTTTTTTTTTTTTAATTTAGATAACAAGTGTGACGATATAGTGATGATATATAGTGACGATAAGGTGATGATGACGACAACGACGTTGTCGTCATCATGAAGATGGAATGAATGAGTGATGGAGACACTATACCTGCTGACTTGAAATTCCATAGCCACCTCAGCCCCACCTTGGTTGGGGTGAGGTGCGGCTTGTTTAACTTACAGCTCCCCAAGATGTCTGGAAAAGGTACCCTCAAACTTTGAAATTGCCTTGATTTGATAATTTAAAAACTTAATAATATGCCGACTTTAAGTGAACTGCAATAATGAAAAATAACTGACACTATCGTTCCTGCAATCTAAGTTCTAGCAGATTTTTACACACGAAACTGCAATTTCTATTGTGAATTATTTAAAAAAGTATAAAATTTCACAAAAAGAGCTTGAGATAGGCCTGAAAGCGTAAGTGTCATGCCAGATAAGTACACTGTGATAATGCAGGCTAAAGTGAAGCAAGTCCAAGCTGGAATTAATGAGCCCGAAAGTGATGGCATGGTACAGGGACAAGCGCCCCAGCAATCATCAGCGGTAAAGTCTTAATATCAGAGGAAATAGAAAGGATATATACTAAATATAATAAATATACAAAGATATATACTATCAATCTAGATTTTTATTTATGCATTGCTTTATTAGATTTTTGTATAAGGGGGCGGGGCCCTTGTAGACCGGGGGCCCCTGGAGCTTGGGCGCCCAGGTTCGACGAACTTGCTGAACCTGCGGTAGGTACGCCACTGGATGACATCATACCAAAGAAGAAGAAAAAAAAGTACACCAAAGAAAACAAGATTGTGGGCCTATCTGTGTTTTGAATTACATGAAGGGAAAACAAAGAAAGTTATCATTAGATTAGAAGCACATTAAAAAGATGCTTGAGGCTTAGGCCAGCAAGTTACAAAACTGGAAAAATGTTTCCACTGTTAATGATCCCACATCATATAAAACAATAACTTTTGGCGTTCCGTACATGTGTATGTAGTGTATGATAATTGTTCCTTTCATTAGGCCTACAGTATAATCCCTCCTTTGGGACACCCATATTCAGGGGACACCCCTGTTGAGGGGACGATTTTCCGTGGAACAAGGGGAAATATATCTTTTAACACTACAGCTAACCCCTATTAAGGTGACAGGGACACTTCTGAGTGTGCCAAATGCTCAAATAACCCTTATTATTAAAAGGCCACATATTTTTTTCTTCATTGTATCACAACATCTACAGCACTCTAAAAAAAAGAAAAATTCAATCAACTTTACATTTTAACACGTTTTGAGTAATAAACCAGAATTTTCTCCAATTAATCCATCAGTGAATATCAGTAGGCCTACTGCATGTGTTACTTCGTAAACCAATCTTGTCAATTTTGACCCTAAATAGTGGGGATTTCTCTTGCTTTGTTTTTCGTGTATTTCATATAGGATTCTAATCCACATCAAAACATACTCTATTCATGCTACATCCATGTAATAGTAAGCTCTAATGTGATTGTTGCTATTTGTAAATAACCCAGTATTTTTTTACCTTTTCAGGACTTTTCACATACACATTATACAAAATTTTATTTATGGAGGCTTTGGCCTTTCAAGCCGTTTTAAACACTGGTTTGATAGCATCTAAGGAACTTTCATTATTTACTTAATTCTGAACTTATAATAAATATTATATGTACTTTTCTTGTAATCATTTTTTACTGTTTAAGTATATATATATATTTTTATTGTTTATTTTATTTCATGAGACTTTTCATTCAGCTAGCATTCCCAGGCGTCCCAGGCAACAATTACAATTGTTTATTTATGAAAATAAGTGATCTACTTAATGTAAGACACCTCATTTTAATTACCTTGTTTAATTGGATAGATTTAATTTTGATTTAGATCTGATTGATCGGTTTCTATTTGCTACTGTTATACTTCTTTAAATATATATGGGTGAGATGTTCTCATCAGTATTCTTGAAAATGTAGATCGAAACGTTGAATCTCAATGTCTCTCGCTCTTTTTGGGGTTATTGTCTTTTTGTTTTATTACACCTATATTAATCAATTTCAAACCATATGAAATTATCATTTAATAACTCAAATAAAAAACTCAATATTAAAAATAAATTTGGTCATTAACATTGCATAATGAAACAATATTGAGAACATATTTATAATTATTGTTTTAATTACATTTCTGCTGATTTCATATCATAAATGTATTGTATTTGAATTACAAATTATTGCTATAAATTAGTACTTATTCTACTCTGATTCTTATGTCAATAAAAATAAGATTATAAAGAATGATATCTCATCATTTGAAAACTTGCCAAAAACCCCTATTAAGGGGACAATTTTATGTTTTGGTTAGTGTCCTCTGAATAGGGTACCCCTATCTCCTATTAAGGAGACACTTTTTTTGCCCCGAAGGTGTTCCCTTCATAGGTTTTATTGTATGTCTAGGATTTTTTTTTTATTCCGTTTGTCCTATGTTTGACAATTTCTAATGCAGCGGAGTGATACCTGCTGAACATAACTGCTATCGTGGCTTCTAAAGTTACATCAATTTGATTGGTTGAAGCTTATGTTTGTCAACCAAAGTCGAAGCAGTTGTGAATGGTCGGTATTTAGTTACAGGTTAACGTGAGTTTTCACATAACCGTGCATATTATCACCTACGTATATTTTGTCACAGAAACCTCGTTGCGAATGCTGTTGTTGTTTATGCGATAAAGAAACTCTTTTCTTGCATGGCAGTACAATGTCTTGTCTAGTGTTGATTCGTCAGATTTAACACGGCAAAGGATTTGTGGATAAACTTTGATTGAAAACAAGTATTTGGATTCGGAGTGGTTTAGGTATGAACCATCATCGGCCGAACGTGGTATCGCGGGGTGTGAACAGTGCCAGTGCGGCTGATGATGATGACAGTCTTGAGGACCAAGCCGAATCCAACAAAATAAAGGAGGACGGGAACAACGAGAAGCCACCCTATTCGTACGTAGCCCTGATTGCGATGGCGATAAAAGAAAGTCCGGAGAGGCGCCTTACGTTAAGCCAAATTTACGAATTTATTATTGAACGGTTTCCGTATTATGAGAAGAATAAAAAGGGCTGGCAGAACTCGATACGTCATAACTTAAGCTTAAACGAATGTTTTATAAAGGTAAGTTTCCACTTTTATTTGTAATAACTTTAAAAATTACAAATAGCCGACCGCTGTTTGTAGTAATAATAGTCTAATAAAAACAAGTATGGATTTGTTTTGATATTAGTTTCAATCCCTATGAACTATACCTAAATTCTGGACCTTCAAAACGGAATCGAAATATTTAATTAATCAAATAAAAATATCAATGATGATTGTTATATTCAACTGAGACAGATCAGTACAGTATTCTTTTAAAAACGTTTGTCTGGTCTACGAATGCAAAGTGACAGGTCGACACAAAAGGTCAAGTCCGAAAAGGTCATCAATACAATGACCCCCCGACAAAAATACGACTGTCTGGCTTATCGACTGATATATTATGTGGTAAATTTGAGTGGTGTGGCCGTGATGGTTGCGATCAGCTGATACCATATATGCTTATATGTGTACAGTATTTATATATTGTATTTTATATACTAAATAATAAATAATCAAATTTGTTTATAATAGTCGTAATATTAATATTTAAACAATACTAGTATGAGCAATAAGTATGTTTTTGTATTGTGCCACTTTTACCTTTAGTGATTTAAAGTCAGACTCCAGAGGGGAAAAAATGATATGTTGTAGAACTGATTTTTCTAAGACAGAATAAAGTTGTTTGACGAAGAACTGGGGAACGGTGAACGAGATACAAGTTTTTACACATTTTACCCCCAGTTTTTAAATATTCAAAAATCTGTATCTCATTCACCGTTGCTCAGTTTTTGATCAAACTACTTTTTTCTGTCTTAGAAAAATCAGTTCTGCAACATATCAAAAAATGTTTTCCTCCGGAGCCTGACTATAAGGAAGAAATGAGCTGTAGCTCGTAAAAAGTGCCGCCTCTCCTTTCATTTTTGTGAATGTCGTATTGTTGTTTGAATGTATTTGTTGTAGACCTTGTAACATGTAATGGTAATGCATTCCTCTGTTTATTGCTCGGATGTTGTTAAAAACTATCCCTATTTTATTGTTAGTCAATTTTGCGATCGAATAAGGTTTTTTTTTTGTAATTTGTTATTTTTTGTAGTTTGTATATTTTAGGCTACATTTACTATATTTTATAATTCAATTAAATTCAATTTCATAGACTTTTTTTCCATAATATAAGCAATACAATGTAATAATTTATAAATTGGAAAAGGATCAATTGATCAATTGAAGTTGAAATTTTTAAAAAAACGACATCAGTCTGTACAAAATAATTCTAAAAGATTGAATGTTCTTTTTCAGCATATAACTTCAATTATCTTGAATACGTATCAACCAAAAGTACTATATTTTCGCGGGAGACCCATCGTAAACTTACACAAATTGGCGCGAAAAAATGCTGGGAAAGGTGAACAGAATCATAACTACTACGAAATACATAATTGCCTTTTATATTGAAACGGCAGACCAAGGCCTATTTTTTTTTTTTTGGACCAGTAAAATTTTGTTCTTATACTTATTTTTTTTGGCTCAAAATCAGGTTCAAAATGTTTATTTTATTTTGTTCTTATTTTATACACTTTTCAAATATAGAAAGTTATTATTGCGCAGAACAGTACATTACTGTACTGTGTTACAGAGGGTACTAGCTGTGTACCCGTCCTTCGGACGGGAATCAATACAAACTGAATGCATGAGACTAATTTTTTCATATGATAGTGCTATCGAATGGAATAGATTAAGCCCTGATACAGTATTCTATCAATTTAGGTATTTTCAAGAACCATATTTGTATTAATATTTAATGAAAACAAAGTATAATAGTAGCCTATAAACATTGTATAAATCACTAATTGAATGTTTTCTCGCTTTGTTTTACGCCGTGGCCACGGCGTTTTTATTAATATTTTACATTTCTTTTTCGTAATTTACAGTTTACTTTTGTGGATGGATTTTCTTGATTTCCACAATTTATTTTGCCATTGTTGCTATAGATTACTTTTATTTTACTAAATTGTTGACTTTTGCGTATTGTATAATAATTATGTTTTGTATCTATATTACTTAATTTGCGTTTAACTTTTGTTGATTATGTACCGTACATTGCAGGTTTGACTATGTAATACCCTCTATAACACAGTACATTACTGTACTGTGTTATAGAAGGTATTACATAGTCTGTAATACCCTCTATAAACAACACAGTACATTACTGTACTGTGTTATAGAGGATACCCTCTATAACACAGTACATTACTGTACTGTGTTATAGAGGGTATTACATAGTCAAACCTGCAAATTTTTGTTCTTTTTGTTTAAACAATTCCAGCCTCAGTGTTCTTATAAAATGTGTTCATAATATAAAAAAAAAGTGTACGCAGTAGAAAAATGGTCAAAGTGTTAATATTCTAAGCCTCTGCCGCAAAGTTTCAAAACACTGATACGGCACATCCTACTGTTTTGTCGATAAACAGTAAATTTAAACATTGAAAACAAAGATATAAGAACAAAGATATAAGTAACTTGCATGGCAGCCTCGGACTTCGATCTATCAATCTCATTCTTATCTTGTGCCAAAAGTGTACTGTTTCTGGTAAATATTTTTAATTGGCTTTTTGGTAACATGGCAAGCGTTGAAGTATTTCATATTTATAACCAGTACACAAAACAAAGTACACTACCCAGAGATTTCACTTCACTAAACGTTAAATTACCCAGAAATTCCACTTTACAAACTTCGGACCTGTTACCTGTTCAGAATAATGAGCAAAGTTTGTATTCAGACTAGGGATCTACAAATGGTATGTTTTATGTTTCTCATCCACACCTTCAATTTTTCAAAAATATTTTTATTGCTAAGAGCACATTATTTTAGTTAAAAGTCTTTATTTTGAATAAAAAGAATGTTGTTGTTATGTTGTTATATCGTAAAACATGGTATTTACCAGTTGATCACAACTGTTTTTATTTAATTCTTTTTGTAGATACCGCGACAGGGAAGCGGTGAACGAAAGGGTAACTTTTGGACCCTTGACCCGTCATGTGACGAAATGTTCGAAAACGGTAATTACCGCCGTCGGCGTTGTATGCATCGTCCCAGTCGCCATAACCACCAATACGGGCAATCGTCGGATCAACGCACACCTTTTCATTACCTTAATGACTATAGTTATAGCCCATACAATCAGGTGTACCCTACTTCACTTTCGTCATCATCTTACCATGGTACCGACTGGAGTACAAGCTTTCAACCGCAACCTTCTTCCTTGCAAATTGGATACGTTGGATCGTCATGCCAGGTTAGTAAATTGGAATGTATATTGTATTGTACATTATATTATGTTATGCACTATACTGTATCTTATTGTTTTGTAAAACATATACATTCCATTACATTATATTATATTAAAAGCATTTTAATTGCGCCTCGACGTCAACGGAACAAATTCACTCGTCCGTGACCATTCTGCGTTAATGTCGCCGCATGAGCAGATAACGTTATGTGACGTCATTACGTTCTAGATCTTACCAACGTAATTTTTCTAAAGTTTGTGATAAATATAATTATACTTCTTATATCTTTTATATTTTCAAATATGGAAAAAGAACATCTGAACTTTTTATGTTATAGGCAACACTTCAAAGAATAATTGGAAAAATAACATTTGTTCTACAAAGAAAATCAAAGGTCAATATAGATGGCAGAAGGTCATAACTATTATCCGCGCCATTTTCGTGGTTTTTGGCGGTTTGAAAATGGTTTTTGACGTCCTAAATTGTAATTTGAAGATCAGATTTTCGTAATATTTGAAATTCGTGCTTTTTGGCTAAATGATAAACATTTGTACTGAATTTGTAATAAAAACCGAGTCTGTGTTGTGTGAATATGCTAATTGCTCATTTTCATGATCAATATTTCACTAATCAGGAAATTCACGCTAGTTACCACGTAACTGAAGTTTTAGGTTAGTCTGATTGGTTTCAAACATTGCAGAGTGCAAGATGGTAATACGAGCGACGGAGCCTATTGTTTTTGATAAATGTCTGAATATGCTAATTGCACTTTTGCATAATATTTCACAAAAGTAAATTTACACTATACTATTAAAATTCCCATAAAAGTTTTCAAATTTAGTTGAAATTTTAAAGATGGTAAATTTCACAGGAAATTTATGCTAGTTACCAAAAAGTTTGGTAATTCTGATTTGTTTATAACTTTGCAAAATGCAAGATGGTAATAATGTAACGGGGCCTATTGATTTTGGTACCGGTTTAAATATGCTAATTGCTCATTTACATAATTAATATTTCACTAATCAGGAAATTTACACTAAACACCATCAAAATACCCATAAAAATTTCTAATTTAGTTGAAATTGTAATTTTTCTTCGCTGTTGTACTAAATTATTTGTTACCACAATAACTTTGGTAAGTCTAATTGTTTTCAAACTCCTACTTATCAATTCATCATTATCATCA